TATGTGTGTATGTGTGTATGTGTGTATGTGTGTGTATGTGTGTATGTATGTGTGTATGTATGTGTGTATGTGTATGTGTGTATGTATGTGTGTATGTTTGTGTGTATGTGTGTATGTGTGTATGTGTGTATGTGTGTATGTGTGCGTATGTGTGTATGTGTGCGTGTGTGTGTGCGCGTGTGCGTGTGCGTGTGCGTGTGCGTGTGCGTGTGTCGTTTGTGTTGTGTGTGAGTGCGGTGCGTGTGCGGTTTTGCGTGTGGTGTGCGTGTGTTGCTTTTGTGCGTGTGCGTGTGGTTTGCGTGTGTGTGTGCGTGTGTGTGTGCGTGTGCGATGTGCGTGTGCCGTGTGCGTGGTGCGTTTGTCATTTGTGCGTGTGTGTGTGTGTGCGTCTTCGGTTTGTGGCCCAGCCATTATTGTGTGTGTGCGTTGTGCGTGGCGTGTCGGTGGGGGTGCCGGTGGCGTGTGCGTTGTGTGTGTGTGGTGTGTGGGTGTACTTAACTTTTTTCTGTGTTGTGTTGCGTGTTGCGTTCTTGTGCTGTTGTGCGTGTGCGGGTTTGTGGTGTGCGTGTGCGTGTGCGTAGTGCGTGTGCTGTGCGTGTGCGCGTGCGTGTGTGTGTGTGTGTTGTTGTGCGTGTGCCTCATGTGTCTCATTGTGTGTGCGTGTGCGTGGGCGTGTGCGTGTGCGTGTGCGTGTGCGTGTGCGTGTGCGTGTGCGTGTGCGTGTGCGTGTGCGTGTGCGTGTGCGTGTGCGTGTGCGTGTGCGTGTGCGTGTGCGTGTGCGTGTGCGTGTGCGTGTGCGTGCGCGTGTGCGTGTGCTTGTGCGTGTGCGTGTGCGTGTGCGTGTGCGTGTGCGTGTGCGTGTGCGTGTGCGTGTGCGTGTGCGTGTGCGTGTGCGTGTGCGTGTGCGGGTGCGTGTGCGTGTGCGTGTGCGTGTGCGTGTGCGTGTGCGTGTGCGTGTGCGTGTGCGTGTGCGTGTGCGTGTGCGTGTGCGTGCGTGTGCGTGTGCGTGTGCGTGTGCGTGTGCGTGTCGTGTGCGTGTGCGTGTGCGTGTGCGTGTGCGTGTGCGTGTGCGTGTGCGTGTGCGTGTGCGTGTGCGTGTGCGTGTGCGTGTGCGTGTGCGTGTGCGTGTGCGTGTGCGTGTGCGTGTGCGTGTGCGTGTGCGTGTGCGTGTGCGTGTGTGTGTGCGTGTGTGTCCCAGGGTTCCTTTCCTCCTGGGCTGCCCCCCGCGCGGCGGCAGCTCGCAGTGCCCGGCGGTGTTCGGCATGTCTCCGACGGCCGCACCGCCGACGGCGCGCGCGGCGTCCCCGGCCCAGACCTCCCCGAGGCTGCGAAAAAGACACGACGGGAGGCCTCCGGACCCCCTTCCCGGGCCTCGGGGCCGTCAAAAAACGGCTCAGCAGGACGGGAAGCCGGTCCCGGGGAAGGGGACCCGACCCTTGGGGGTCGACGCTGCGAGAAAAAATCACGACTTCGGGGGTCTGGGTCTGACGGCCGCACCGCCGACGGCGCGCGCGGCGTCCCCGCTAGAGGTGGATCCCACCACCCTCCCGAACAAGCGGCTTGAGGGAAGTCGGCATGGGGGTCATGTGAAGCGTTCCATAGACAGCCTCGCCTTCGAGGATCGCGGGACTTGCCATCTCTTCCTCGACGGAAGGCGGTGGAAGTAGAACGGCGGCGGCTCCGAAGGCGGAAGGCCGGCGGAAGTACAACGTGCATCCCCAAGACATGGCAAATTTGTTGGGTTCAGGGCTCCGGAGCTGGCCATGCGGCGCATTCCCTGGATCGCTGCGATGTTGCACCGAGGCCACGCAGTCCTTGGCCCCCCGTGCCCACCGTTCCTGCGTCGGCGGAGGCGGCCGCCGAGCGCAGTTCCTCGGGCCAGCGTTGGTTGGGGGCTGGGGGCGGGGTGGGCAGGATCCAATCCGTGTCACCCCCCATGACACCAAAGTGGACCCCCAACCAACTTACAATCAATGATGTTTGCCTTCTCGCCGAGGCCGTCTTGGACGCTGCAACACGTCGCCGGGCGCCCCGTCCAGGTCCAGGGGAGATTGTAAGGGGAGGGGTCAAGGCGTCAAGGCCCACCCTTCGCCAGCAAGCCGCCTCGCTCACTCGCACCCACCCTCCCACCACATAGGTAACAGCCGAGGGAGTCTCAGCATATTGCTTAAGAGCGCCACGCATGCCATGTGCGCCACGAGTTCCAGGTGCATCAGGCACCTTGGAGGCTCAAGCAAGACAGGCGCGCCAGGTGCGGGACGTGCTCCGCGTTTAAACAATTTGCCGGCACCCCCGCCGTCCCTGTCAAAAGCCCATGCAAAGTGGTCGCGGAGCGCCCTCGCATGCTCCAGATGTATTTGCTTGTGTTTGACAGGGATGGTTGGCCTGCGCGCAGCGAGCAATGCGACGGCGCCCCCGCCGTCTCTATCAAAAACTAATGCAAAGTGGTCGCGGGGCACCCGCACATGCTCGAGATGTGGAGGCAAAGTGCAGTCTGCATTGCGTTTTGAAGATGATGCTTGGCCTGCGCGCAGCGAACAATATGACGGCACCCCCGCCGTCCTTGTCCAAAACCTATGCAAAGTGGTCGCGGGGCGCCTGCGCATGCTCCGGATTTGGAAGATTTGTTGGAGGTAAAATGTATTCTTGATTGCTTTTGACAGGGATGGTTTGGGGGGTGGGCATGCCTCGGGTGGGCCCACAGTCGGGTGGGCGAGGGGGTGTATACTAGCAAAAAGCAATGATAAACCCTGCCAAGAAGGGGATGAAGGGGGGGTGGAAGAGGAAACTCCATAAGCCGCCCACGCCCTGAAGTGCAGGTGAGATTCCCATCAAGTTTCTTCTGGGGAGTCAGATGAGCAAGAGGTCATGCTACTGATACGTTCCAGGACTTCGAAGGTTTGCCATCTGTTCCAGATTATCGATTGTTTCACACCGGCTGCGCCGCTAGATGCTCTGGAGATCCTGGAACGCACCCTGAGCCAATCTAATCATGGCATCAACCTCCCCTTGGGGATGGTTGTAGGCGTCCCCGAGCTCCGAACGGCGTCTGCCGTTCGTTCTCCGTTTCGCATCTGACCGCAGGGCGTAGGCAATGCCAACGGACACCGAGCCAAGCGCACTGAGCCAGGCGGCTAGGAGATGTCCTTTGACCCTGCGCCGGGGCCCATCTGATGAATCGGCGGAGGATGAGGAGGAATAGGAGGAGGTGAGACCGACCCACAAAGGTTCCTGGCGATCCTAAAGCTGTGTGTTGAGTTTTGATTTGCGCAAGCGGATCCGAGGAACTCCTAGGGTCGATGAAAGCATTTTGCAGATGCATGCGCGTGCCTCCCGCGCACAGCTGCTCCAGCAGGCTGAGCCCGAGGTGTGATGACCCACGAGCTCCTTCCGAGTTACATGCGAGGAGTAGGAGGATGATAGAGCGACCGAGGACTCCCAGTCCAGACGCGGCCCGGAGGACAACTCTGTCCGGACGGGTCTCGTATCGAGTCGTGGCAAGTTCTTGCCGGTCCTTGTGCTTTCCCTGGGCATCCACTCCAAAGCCAGAGCACTGAAGTAAGGACACACTTGGTTCGGGTCTCTCTTTGGGCTGTGTCCTCTCTCTTCCCAAGGGCTCCACGGGCATCTCGGCCGAGCGGAAGCGGACAAGCGGCTTCGCTCGTTACACTAAGGTTCTTTCCAGCAAGCTTGCGGCGGTAGCATGGGAGTGGCACACACTTGCGGGAAGCAGAGTCAGATTGGCAGGAGGAGGAGGAGGAGGGGGAGGAGGAGGAGGAGGAGGAGGAGGGGGAAGAGGAGGAGGGAGGGAGGGAGGGAGGGAGGGAGGGAGGGAGGGAGGCAGGCAGGCAGGCAGGCAGGCAGGCAGGGGAGGGAGGGAGGGAGGGAGGGAGGAGAAGAAGGAGGAGGAGAGGAGGAGGAGGAGGAAGAGGAGGAGGAGGAGGAGGAGGAGGAGGAACCATGCCCCCTACCGTTGGCAATTGACGTTCGATCCATGCGCTGCCGCTGCCCTCCGATCTGGGGTGCCAGCGGGAGTGGCGCAAGGACCACAAGCGCGGCCCCCCGAGGCCGCATGCTCATCTCCATGCCCCCCACCCTGGTCCCTCGTGGGGTTGGGGCGGGAGGAAGGAGGAGGGAGGAGGGAGGGAGGAGGGAGGGAGGGAGGAGGGAGGGAGGGAGGAAGGAGGGAGGCCCAGGTGTTCGAGGGTCGAAGCTTTGTTCGCCTTGGGGGGCATGGGCAGGGACAGAACGCTGGAGTCCCTTTGTGTCCGTGGGATCTGACGTTGCAAACAAGATTGCGACATCACAGAAAAATCACCACGGGAGCTCCAGACCCCATCTTTCTGCGTCATTTCTCGAGCTGGGTCGATATGTGATACAGTCAACCCGCATCGTAAGGATGGGCAACCTTCCCCAGGGTACCCTTGCATCCTTCCCCGTCGGCCCATCCTTGGCCGCCTTCGCTGGCCGCGCCCCGCCCGCAAAGTGTCGACATGGCTTTGCAAGGCCCTTGCATCCTTCTCGTGCATCCTTCTTATACGGGTTGACTGTAACCCTGGGGGGCCGAAACCGGGCGACAGCGCCATGGTGGAAACACTGCGACGCCAAGATCTCCGGGCTTGACGTTGCTCTTTTTGGGTTGTCGGGCCATGGGTCCCAGACATGCGACGTTCAGATTTTGTTCAATCGTCCTTGGAACTCCCGACCCTTTCCCCGGGACCGACTTTTCCTCCTGAGTCGTTTTTTGATGCTCCTGAGGCCCGGCGAGGGCTCCCCGAGGCCAAAAAATTGACGTCCTGACTTTTTTCACGACGCGATCGTGTCTGGGCCGGGCTCTCTGGCGGCCGTTCGGGACGATCCGGGCACCCCCGGGCACGCCCTCGGCGAGGCGTAGCGGCTGGAGCGCATCCCGGGGCTGGGTCGTCGCCGCTGTCGTCGAAACAGGCCCGTGGGTGCCCCCACGGCCGCCGCCCGACCTGCCCCGCGCCGTCGGCGTGGCTCTCGAGTCCCGAGCTGGCCCCGGGCGAGCGTCGGAGTGGCCCCAGCCAGCCCGGGCCTCCGACCCCCCGCGATCGGGTGGACCCAAAAGGGGGTCCAGCGACGAGGGGGTGCAACAGATTTGGTGCCATAGATCTGTGGGGGTGCAATCGATTTGGGGCGTGCAGTACATTTCGGGGCGCCAGTGTTTTGCTGGAATTTCGCGGGCAATGCATTATTGGTCACACAATGCAATACAAGTCTCTGGCGCAATACATGTGCAATGCAATTGCCCAACATCTATTGCACCACCCCCTTTTGAGCTGGACCCTCTTTTGTTAGGTCGACCAAACACGATCTCTGCGCACGACGCCGGCCCAGCTGGGCGCTCTCAACGCCGGGACCCCGCCTTGTGACGTCAGAGGCAACGGCATGGGGGGGACGTAGGCTTAGGGTTCAGTCGGGCCTGTCCCTCTGCAGGAGGAACATTCCAAAATAGTCAAAAGATTGTACGAGAACGACTTTTCTATAATTGTTTACCTGGGGTGTGTTCTATTGTTCCTTCAAAGTCCGCCTGTAGGAGGAGATGCCCGACCTAAGCTTAGAGATTCGATACTGCTTGGAGTCGGCTGGGTGTCTGAGGTGGCCTGGCGCTGGTTCCGGCCAGCAGGAAGGGGGGCAGGTTCCAGGTTCTGGGTTCGGCAGGGTGTTTGCCTTTCCCAGCTTTCGGGGGCTTTTTTACGGGCCCCGGAACCGTCAAGAACGGGCCCAGCCGTCAGATGGACCCATGGAAGGGTCCGGGGACCGATTTTGACCGGATTTGGCTTCCGCCCCTTCTCCTGCCAGATCTTCAGGGGCCCCAACCAGTTCAGCCTCCCAAGCCGCCAAGATGCTGCGACCCCCAAACGCCCAAAGATCGATAGAAAGTCAGGCGTGTCCCTTCACAGGAGGAATATTCAATAATAGTAAGACAATAGTCAGTGGACGATGTCTCCTGCGATTTCTTATACATATGTATATATATAGAGAGAGAGATATAGAGAGATTCCCAAATTCGCCTGTCGGAGGACATGCCCGCGGCCCGAAGTTCCCGAAGCGGACGGCCCTCGGAGGGCCGAGGCCTGGAGAGAAAAGGTGCCCGTCCCCCAGAGGTTTGGCATCGCTCGGACGTGTGCACTGTTCCTTCGGCGAGGGCCATCGAGGAGCATCCTTGATCATTTGGCGGAAGAGCCACGCACGAAACCGAAGAAAACACAGGAAATGGACGTCCGAGCGATGGCCAGGAGGAGGAAGCAGTACCTATACTGCTACCCCTGCCTCGTTCTGCCCTTTTGGGGGGCCTCCTGGGAGGCCCCTTGGGTCTCTCCAGGAAGAAAAGAACGCCCTCAACATAAACGTTTGACGCTCCGCGCGGATTTCATGGGTCCGCGCTGGGCTCCCTGGGCGGCGCCTCCGCCGCCGCCCCTGGCGCTCTCCGCACGCCAGTGAGGGGAGTCCAGCGCAGGTCCAAGAATTCTGCGCGGAGGGCCGATAGTTGATGTTTATGATCTTTCTATTTCCATGATCATTGGGTACTATCTTTTTCTTGTCGCCACCGACGAGATCGGTCGCTACGGGTGTTACCTCAGATTCCGGTGTCGGTCGCGACCGGTTGGTTTCACCTTAGTTCGCGACCGATATTTGGAGTGCCGACCTGTCGCTGCCGATCGCGGCCGAACAAGAGGGGTACTCCAGATTTCGTAATAAAAGGGAGGGGGTCTCAACCCTCCCAGACGAGAAGTTTTAGACCCCCCCCGTGGGAGAAACCTCCAAAACATCGTCCCCAGACCCCCCCAGGCCCTCCAAGATAGCCTGGAAGAGACCCCCCCCCCGAAATGAGACCCCCCTCCCTTTTATTACGAAATCTGGAGTATCCAATGATCTCGGGTCGTGACCTCTCTCCGCGGCGCTCGGAGGCCCGTCGGCCCCCGCGACCAGCGGCGCTGGGGCATGTAGCTTCGGGCGCGCGATGCGCGTGCGGCACCTGCAGCAGCACCTGACCGAGCAGGACCTGGTCGGCGCGGAGAAGCTCGAGGCGCTCACGGGCCTCCGGGTGGGCGTCGACGCGGTGTATTGGCTCCGGTCGATCCAGGCACCCGGGAGGAGGAGAGAGGAGAGAGGAGGGAGGAGGAGGAAGGAGGAGGAGGAGAGGAGGGAGAGTAGGAGGAGGAGGAGGACGAGGAGGAGGAGGCGGAGAGAGGAGGAGGAAGAGGAGGAGAGGAGGAGGAGGAGGAAGAGGAGGAGGAGGAGAAGGAGGAGAAGGAGAAGGAAGGAGAAGGAGGAGGAGGATCAGAGTATCGAAGAAGAAACAACGGCATAATCACAAAGTGTTGGCGCTCCGCGATGATCTCTTGGATCTGCGCTGGAGCGCCCTGGCTGCGCCTCCGGCGCCGATCCAAGCAATCCGCGCCCTTGACAGACCAGCACCGGATGGGCCTGCCATTCAGGCTAGATCTCTGCTCCTGTGACAGCTCCTCCTCCTCCTCCTCCTTCTCCTCCTCCTCCTCGTCCTCCTCATCCTTCTCCTTCTTCTCCTCCTCCTCCTCCCCCTCCTCCTCCCCCTCCGCCTCCTCCTCCTCCTCCTGCTCCTCCTCCTCATCCTCCCCTCCTCATCCTTCTCCTCCCTCCTCCCTCCTTCCTCCTCATTCTCCCTCCTTCCTCCTCTCTCCTCCTCTTCCCCTCCTCTCCTCCTCCTCCTCTCCTCCTCCTCCTCCTGCCTCCTCCTCCTCCTCCTCCTCCTGCTCCTCCTCCTCCTCCTCCTCCTCCTCCTCCTCCTCCTCCTACTCAAAGTTCTGGAAAGAGACTGCCTTTCATCCCTTCGAGACGTACGGGATACGAGGAACATGGATCACACAGAGAAACGAGGTGGCCAGCGAAACACCCGCCTTGAAAAAGGGCCGTCCCCCCTGTATGCGCACAGGCTGTACAAGTTGACACTCTTGGCCATGAGCGTCGAGGAGGTCTCAAGCGAGAGCCATCCAGTCAACCCGCACAGGTAGGATGGGCAACCTTCCCAAGGGTACCCTTGCATCCTTGTGTCTCCTCGTTCTATATTTGGCCACTTTCGTTGGCCGCGCCCCGCTCGAAAAGCTTCGGCATGGGCGTCCGAGGCCCTTGCATCACTTATCGCGCATCCTTATGATACGGGCCGACTGTACCCTGAGCGATGTGTCGGACTCCTCGCCTTCTACACCTCAACCTCAGGAGGTCATGTTAGTCCTGCCGATCCCCCCCCTAAAGCTCTTGGTGTGTCAGAGGCCTGGGCGCGTCCCCATGGGTCGCCCTGTCCCTGTCCGTGTCCTCGCCCTCCTCCTCCTCGCCTTCCTCGCGGGGCTGTGGCTGCGCAGTGGCCTCGGCAAACCTGCTGAGGAGGGCGAAGACCCCGACCCCACACAGGGCGAGAATCTTGAAGGAGGGTTGAAGCAGGTCGCTGGCCCAAAGCCCTCAGCAAGGCTGAGGTAGCCCAGAGGCAAGGCAACCGATCGTAGGTTGCGGCCGAGGTGGATTCACATCGCTACGCGATCAGGCAGAGTCTCCAGAGTCTCTTCCCAAGAGCAGCGCAGTGCAGAATGTCAACCATGAGTGATGCAGGCTAGCCTTCATCAGAGAGCAAGCTCGCACAGCGTTCGTGCTCATGTTCATGCTTGTCCTCCCCCTCGACAGCGGCGACTGGGGCGGCGGAAGAAGTGTTTGCGGATTAGTGTTGGATGTCTGCAGCTCTCAGCTAGCCCCAAAAACTATTGGATGCCCATTGCTTGGTGTGTACTTACGACTTACAGCGGTTGATGAAAAGGGTGTCCAGCGCACGACTCTTCTGAACAAGGAACCGCCCTCCATCCCTGTAGCTGCTGCAGCCTGTTCAGGCGAATGTGCGCGGCGCGGACGCGAGAGTCTCATTGGGGCAAGGAGCCGCCTTCCATCCTTGAAGCTGCTGAACACTTGTCAGACGACTGTATGCGGCGCGGGGGCTAGAGCCCCATGTTGGAAGAGGTGCTGCCCTCCATCCTTGAAACTGGTGCACACGTTTAAGACGCCTGTGCTTGGCGCGAAGGCGAGGGCTCCATTTTTCAAGGCGACACCCCCACACACACACACACACACACACACACACACACACACACACACACACACACACACACACACACCGCCATCATCGTGGCTGCTGCAAGCGTGTGGGCTTCAGGGCAGAAAGTGTCAGGGGAAACGACCGTCCCGCCCTGGCGACACGTCCGAGGCTGCGACAGGTAGGAGTTATCGAAGACGCCTACGGCGAATCACCGCCGCCCCCTGCCTCTGTGGAAGCGCCTAGGTGGCCGAACGTTGAGGCGAGACCTGCCAAGCTATCGGACCGTGTGTTTCCCGAATCGGTTTGGAAAGCCTTCGGGGAACATGTGGGCATCTTGAAGGTCATCTTGGCCGTCTGGAGGCCATGTTGACCCTTTCGGGCCTTCTTGGAGGACGTCTTGGAGAGCTCTTGGCCAGTCTCGGAGGCCATTTTGAGCGTCTTGGAGGCCTCTTGGGCTGTCTTGGGGGCCTCTTGGGGCCGTCTTGGGCCTCTTGGGGGATCTTTGGGGGCACTTGGGCAGTCCCGGACCGTCGGACGACTGAAAAAACGCAAATGCCATAATCCTTCAAGAACTCATGGGAAATCAATGATGTTGGCCTTTTCGGGCCTTCCTGGAGGCCCTCTTGGAGGCCTCTTGGGCCGTCTTGGGCCATCTTAGGGCCATCTTCGGCCGTTTTGGTGGGCTCCTGGCCAGTCCGACGCCGTCGGAAGCCATTTGGGGGGCCTCTCTGGGCCGACTTGGGGCCCTCTTGGAATGCTCCAGGGCCGTCTTGGAGGCCATCTTGGGAGTCTTAAAAGCCTTCTGGGCCGTCTTGGGGGCCTCTTGGGGCCGTCTTGGGAGGTTCTGGGGCCATCTTGGAGGCCTCTTGGGCGATCTTTGGGTGATCTTTGGGGGCTCTTGGGCCGTCTCGGGCCGTCGGAAGGCCGAAAAGAAGCAAATGTCAAAATCCTTCAAAAACCTAGAGCATATGAATGATTTTGGCCTCTGCGGGCCCTCCTGGAGGACCTTTTGGAGGCCTCTTAGGCGCCTCTGGGGCCGTCTTGGGCCATCTTGAGGCCAGCTTAGGCCGTCTTGAGTGCATCTTGGGCCGCATTGGAGGCATCTTGGGGCCATCTTAGCCGTCTTGGAGGCCATCTTGGCCGTCTTGGAGGCCTCTTGGAGCTCTCTTGGGGCCGTCTTGGGGGCCTCTTGGGCCGTCATGGGGCCTTCGTGGAGGCCTCGTGGGCAATCTTGAAACGATCTTGAGGTCCTCTTGGGCCGTCTGGAGCCATCGGAATGCCGAGAAGAAGTAAATGCCACAATCTTTCAAAACCCAACACAAAAATATACGATCTTTACCTCTTCGGGCCCTCCTGGAGGACCTCTTGGAGGCCGTCTTGGAGGCTTCTTGGGCGAACTTGGAGGTATCTTGGACCCTCTTGGGCCGTCTGGGAAGCCATCTTGGACCATCTTGGGCGAGCTTGAGGGCCATCTTGGCAGTCTTGGAGGCCATCTTGAGCCGTCTTGGAGAATTTTTTACGGACGTTGAGGTCGTTTGCGGTCTTGGAAGAGCTTTCCGGGACCCCGGCGGGCTGGGCCGAAGCCCCAGGGGAAGTTCTCTTGGAAAACGAACCAAAACCAAAACCGAAATCATCTAGCACGGCAGGCACCCCTGAGACGAATCGACAGGGGGCGGCGGATCTAAGACGCCTACGGCGAATCACCGCCGCCCATTGCCTTTTTGGAAGCGCCTAGGTGGCCGAACGTTGAGGCGAGACCTGCCAAGCTATCGGACCGTGTGTTCCCCGAATCGGTTTGGAAAGCCTTCGGGGAACATGTGGGCATGTTGAAAGTCATCGTGGCCGTCTGGAGGCCATTTTGACCCTTTCGGGCCTTCTTGGAGGACGTCTTGGAGAGCTCTTGGGCCGTCTTGGAGGCCATCTTGAGCGTCTTGGTCTTGGGCCGTCTTGGGGCCTCTGGGGGCCGTCGTGGGCCTCTTGGGCAATCCTTGGGTGCACTTGGGCCGTCTCGGGCCGTCGGAAGGCAGAAACAAAACAATGCCGCAATCCTTCAAAAACTCATGGGAAATCAATGATGTTGGCCTTTTCGGGCCTTTCTGGAGGCCCTCTTGGAAGCCTCTTGGGCCGTCTTGGGCCATCTTAGGGCCATCGTCGGTCGTTTCGGTGGGCTCCTGGCCCGTCCGACGCCGTCGGAAGCCGTTTGGGGGGCCCTTCTGGGCCGACTTGGGTTCCTCTTGGAATGCTCCAGGGCCGTCTTGGAGGCTATCTTGGGCGTCTTAAAGGCCTCCTGGGCCGTCTTGGGGACCTCTTGGGCCGTTCTGAGGCCATCTAGGAGACCTATTGGGCGATCTTTGGGCGATCTTTGGGGGCTCTTGGGCCGTATTGGGCCTTCGGATGACCGAAAAGAAACAAATGCCAAAAACATTCGAACACCTAGGACAAACACTGTGTTTGGCGTTCTGGAGGCCCTCTTGGAGGCCTGAGCCAACTTCGGCCATCTTGGTGGGCTCCTGGCCCGTCTGACGCCGTCGGAAGCCGTTTGGGGGGCCTCTCTGGGCCGATGTGGGGCCCTCTTGGGGTGCTCCAGGGCCGTCTTAGATGCCATCTTGGGCGTCTTGGAGGCCTCTTGGGTCGTCGTTGCGCCCTCTTGGGGCTGTCTTGGGGGCCTCTTGGGCAGTCCTGAGGCCATCTTGGAGGTCTCTTGGGCGCTGGAAAGCCGAAAAGGAGCAAATACGAACACTTCAAAAACCTAGGGAGAATCAGTGATTATGGTATCTTCGGGCCCTCCTGGAGGACCTCTCGGAGGCCTCCTGGGCCGTCTTGGAGGCCTCTTAGGCACCTCTTAGACCGTCTCGGGCCGTCTTGGAGGTTTATTGGGCGGACTTGGAGGCATCTCCTCCTCTCTTGGGCGGACTTGGAGGCCATCTTGGACCATCTTGGAGGCCATTCTGGGCCATCTTGGAGGCCATCTTGGCTGGCTTGGAGGCCTCTTGAGGCCCCCCCCCTTGGGGCCGCCTTGGGGGCCTCTTGGGCCGTCATGGGGCAATTTTGGAGACCTCGTGGGCGATCTTGGGGGCCTCTTGGGCCGTCTGGGGCCGTCGGAATGCCGAGAAGAAGCACATGCCCAAATCCTTCAAAAATCTATGGAAAATCAATGAATTTGGCCTCTTCGGGCCTTCCTGGAGGATCTCTTGGAGGCCACTTGGGCCGTCTTGGAGGCCTCTTGGGGGGTCTGGGGCCATGTTGAGGCTATCTTAGGCCGTGTTGAGTGCATCTTGGCTCGTCTTGGAGGCATCTTGGAGGCATCTTCGCCGTCTTGGAAGCCGTATTGGCCGTCTTTGATGCATCTTGGAGACCATCTTGGGCCGTCTTGGAGCCGTCTAAAGCAGGGAAAACCTTTGCAACCAGGTTTTGAGATCCTTGCCGGGACCCCGGCGGAACGGGCCGAAGCCCCACGGGGATTTCTTTTGGAAAAAGAACCAAAACCAAAACCCATATCATCCGGCACGCCAGGCACCCCTTTGCTAAAGCAAAAGGGGGCGGCGGATCGAAGATGCCTACGGCGAATCACCGCCGCCCCCTGCCCTTGTGGAAGCGCCTATGTGGCCGAACGTTGAGGCCAGACCTGCCAAGCTATCGGACCATGTGTTCCCCGAATCGGTTTGGAAAACCTTCGGGGAACACGTAGGCATCTTGAAGGTCTTCTTGGAGGACGTCTTGGCCATTTCGGGCCTTCTTGGAGGACGTCTTGGAGGTCTCTTTGGCCCTCTTGGGGCCGTCTTGGAGGCCACTTGGGCCGTCATGAGGCCCTCTTGGGGGCCTCCTGGGCGATCTTGGGTGCCTCTTGGGCCGTCTTGAGCAGTCGGAATGCCGAGAAGAAGCAAGTTCCAAATTCCTTCAAAAACCAAGGAAAATTCAATTAATTTGGCCTCTTCGGGCCCTCCTGGAGGACCTCTTGGAGACCTCTTGGGCCGTCTGGGAGGCCTCTGGGGAGCCTCTTGGGCCGTCTTGGACTCTCTTGGGCCGTCTTGGATGCCGTCTTGGACCATCTTGGGCGGACTTGGAGGCCATGTTGGGCCATCTTCGCGATTTGTTGAGGATGTCCCGAGCGAAACGGCCGTTTCAGGGAGGATTTGTTCCGGAGTTTGTGCTCCTGGAAGGGCCTCCTGGGACCCCGGCGGGACGGGCCGAAGCGCCAGGGGGAGTTCTTTTGGAAAAACAAGAGGAAAAAAAGAGGTCCAGCACGCCAGGCACCCCTGCGATAAATCGACACGGGGCGGCGGATTCGAACGGCCTTCGGCCCATCCCGCCACCGTGCCTGGGTTGTGGGTCTGAGTTCTCAGTGATGCTCCTTGGGGTCTCTTCGGAGAGCTTTCGGAGTCCTCTTGGGGGCGGTTTGGGGGCCTCCTGGAAGCCTCTTGGGGGCCTCCTTTTGGGTCTCTTGGGGGCTCTTGGGAGCCTCTGGGGCGCTCGAAGTGTCCGCTCGGGTCCCCCCCCTATCTGGGCCCCCTCTTGGAGACGTCTTTGGAGCCTCTTGGGCCCTTGAGGCCCTCTTGAGCCGTTTTGGGGCCCTCTTGGAAACGTCTGAGGCCGTCTTGGGGCGACCTAGGGCCGTCTTGGAGCGTCGGGAAGTCCAAAAGGCGAGAACTCTAAAAACCTTCTAACGCCTAAGGAAAATCAACTGTTCAGGAATATCCGAGGTTTTTGGCATCTTGCGGCCTTGCTGCGGGTGCTCTTGGAGGCCTCTTGGAGCGTCTTGGAGGCCTTGTGGGCCATCTTTGGGTCATCTTGAGAGTCTTGGAGCGATCTATGGGCGTCTCGGGGCCCTCTTGGGCCGTCTTGAGACCCTCTCGGGGCGCTGTTGGCCCGCCCTGGAGCCCCCTCGGGGCCCGAAAAAGTCATGCGACAAGCCGCAGGGGAGCCAAGGGGAACCGTGGGAAGCCCCGGTAGATTTGGCCATTTGGGCTCCGGGCCCTTAACCCTTAGGATCGAGGACTGAGGCTCAGGGGATTAGGCAAGGGGCCTGAGGACATGCCGGCTCCGTGGCCAGCTGCACGGCGGCGAATCTTTATGGAAGAGGGGTGGATGGAGGGAGGCAGGGAGGGAGGGGAGGCGTGATTGATCATGTCGCTGCGAGGAGGCTAAGACTGGAGGGACCGGAAAACGAGAGGCGGGCCAGATCGGAAGCAGAGGGGCAGACACCCACAAGGGAAGGAAAGACCGCCCGACCACCCCCCCCTCGCCAAGCACGAGTACAGTGGAGGCCCATGCCAAGAAATTTCCTGCTTGCCTCCAGGGTGCCCTGGGTTTCTTGGGTTTCGATGGTTTTGCGATGGAAGGCGTGACATTCCCTCACCAAAAATGAACGGACGTCCTGGGGTTCCAGGGTTGGGTTTCTTGTGGAAGCTTTCATGTGGTCGGGCCCCCACTGTACCGCTAACCCCCGCCAAACATTCGGAACCGGACATCAGCTCCGTCCACAGAGCTCCCATCCCCTTCGGCCCTCCTCCCTGGTGGAGGGGCCAAAGGGGACAGATTCAAGTATTCAGAACGCTGCCTCCAGCCTTCCGTTGCCTCCGCTCTTGGAGGGTTGGGGCTGAAGCCGAGGCAGGTCAGCCAGGCGACACAAGTCCCCCGCCAATTTCGCAGCACGCAGGGAAGGAGGAGGAGGCGAGCGAGCGAGCGAGCGAGGAGAGGGGTTGGGTCCTGGCAGCCCCTACCTGCCGAGGCTGGCAAACTGCTGGAGCCTGAGTTTGGGTTCTGATGCCGAGCCTGCCTTCACCGCTCGGTTGACCTCGTTGCGCTGCTGTGGCTCCTGCTGCGTACAGCGAGCGGCTTGAATAAGGAACACTTACTTTTCAAAAGGGGCTCGGTCGTTCCTTTGGTTTTACATGCGTTATTTACAGCTCCTTATGCGTTACCTATTATTTGTCGTTCCTTATGCGCTATCCCTTGGGATAAAAATGGGCTTCGTTCCTTATGTATCGTTCCTTAGGTCAGGCCGATGACTGTACTGGCGCCTCGACAGAGATCTGGACGGCCCGCGGTGTCCCCGGCGCTGGTCCCTTGGGTGCCCGCCTCGGGCCCTGCGGCCATCCGAGGAAGTCCCAGATCGAAGAGGCAGGCCCGAGGGCAGGGCCAACCGCCTCGGAGGGCCTCGCCGTGAAGAGCCACGACGTCGCAGGGCCGGGGCTGACAGGGCAAGGCGGGGGGAGAAATCAGAACGGGAAAGAGAAGGACTAGCGCGAGAAGGAGAAGGAGAAGGAGAAGGAGAAGGAAAGGATGAGGAGCAGGAGGAGGAGGACGACGACGACGAGAGGAGGAGCAGGAGAAGGCGGAAGATGATGAGCAGAATCAAGAGAAGGAGGGGGAGCAGCAGGAGGAGGATGAGGATGACGAGGAGGATGAGGAGAGGGAAGGGGGTCGGACGAGCAGGAGCTGGGAAACAGGTCAGGCCGAGGCTCCCTCCTCGTCCCCTCCTCCCTCTCCGAGACAGGCGCTGAAGGACCCCTTCGCCGACGCTCTCGGGGGGATACCGCCCGCGATCTTCGGGTCCGTCGACCGGGAGCTCGAGTGGTTTTCGAAGTATGGCACCCGGAAAATTGCCAAATGCACATCGCACACCGAGGAGGAGGCGGAGGAGGAGGAGGTGACGGCGCAGGTTCAGAGGAGGAGAAGATTCCGTCACCGCTTCCCTTCAGTCGCCGCCACGGCTGAATTCGCGTCGAAATCTTGGCCCGAATGCACCACAGGAAAGGCGTGTGCCCCCCCTCCCCCCAGAGGTGGATTGTGCTGGAGGTGAAGGTGAAAGTGGAGGTGGAGGAGTTTGGAGGTGGAGGCAGAGGAGGCGGGGGTAGAGTTGGAGCCTGACGTGGAGATGGAGAGTTGGAGCCTGACGTGGAGAAGGATGAGGAGGCGGAGGTCGGACACTTGGTGAGGAAGGGTGTGCGAGATCCACGGTGACCAAAACCGCTGAACATGCCACAAGGCGTCGCCATCTCGATCGAGAGACAGGTGAGCCGAGCAGCCTCAGCCCACCCTGCTCTGGCTGGCACGTGCCAGGTGGCCATGCAAAAGCAGATGGTTCGCGGAAAAACCATGGGCAACGAGGCTCTCGCCAGAGGCCTTTCCGGCGATTCGTGGCCCCCCAGCGCGACCGTATTTGGGGGCCCCAACCAGCTGCTCCGAGCGTTGCGCCAGCCGCCTGGATGGGGCAGCGCTGCAGGTCAGGGGCTAGCTGTAATTACCGCGGCTGCTGGCACCAGACTTGCCCTCCAATTGGTACTCGTAAAGGGTTTTCAATTCTACTCATTCCAATTACAAGACAAGTATGCCCTGTATTGTTATTTCTTGTCGCTACCTCCCTGTGTCAGGATTGGGTAATTTGCGCGCCCGACGAGTTCCTGCGCGGCGTCGGAAGCAGCCAAACGGACCCGATCCTGGCGGCCCCGCCCCCGGGCGGCTGCTGCGTGCCCATCGCGCCGCGGCCGCCGGCGCGCTCGCGCCCGTCGCTGCCGCGCCACGCGGGGGGCGCCCGCGCCGGCCCGAGCCGGCGCGACGGCCTCCCTCGGCGCGCCGCCGATGTCCGTGCCGCGCGCGGCTGCTACCTCAGGCCCGGGGCAGCGGCGGAGTCGCGCGGGCGCCGCCCGACGGCGCCGTCAGTGACGACGGGGAACGGATACCTGTCAGAGTGAGGGGGCCGCACGGTCATTCATTGTCCCTGGGTGCAAGGCTGGAACAGAGATCCGTGGTGAGGATTATGCTTGTTGCGTCGTTGTTGTTGTTGCTGTTGTTGTTGTTGGTGGTGGTGTAGTTGTTGTTGTTATTGTTGCTGCTGCTCCTGTTGTTGTTGGTGGTGGTGTAGTTGTTGCTGCTGTTGTCGTTGTTGTTGTCGTTGTTGCTGGTGTTGGTGGTGTCGTTGTTGTTGTTGTTGTTGGTGTTGTTGGTGTTGGTGTTGGTATTGTTATTGGCATTGTAGGTGTTGTTTGCTGTTGCTGTTGGTGTTGATGCTGGTGTTGGTATTGTTATTGGTGTTGGTGCGGTTGATGTTGTTGCTGCTGTTGTCGTTGTTGGTGTTGTTGTGTGTGTGTATATGTGTGTTGTTGTTGTGGTTGGCGTTGTGGTTGCTGCTGCTGGTGGTGTTGCTGTTGCTGTTGCTGTTGGCGTTGTTGGGGTTGTTGGTGTTGTTGTTGGTGTTGTTGTTGTTGCTGGTGTTGGTGTTGCTGCTGTAGGTATTGTTGATGTTGCTGTTGTTGAGCTGCTGTTGTTGGTGTGGTTGGTGTTGCTGTTGTTGTTGGTGTTGTTGGTGTTGTTGTTGTTGTTGGTGTTGTTGGTGTTGTTGCTGGTAGTGGTGCTGTTGTTGTTGTAGTTGCTGTTGTTGTTGGTGTTGTTGTTTGTGTTGTTGTTGTTTGTGTTGTTGTTGGTGGTGCTGTTGCTGGTGGTGTTGTTAGTGTTGTTGTTGGTGTTGGTGTTGCTGTTGGTGGTGTTGTTGTTGTGGTTGTTGTTGGTGTTGTTGGTGGTGTTGGTGTTGTTGTTGTTGTTGTTGTTTTTGTTGTTGTTGTGTTTGTTGTTGTTGGTGTTGGTGTTGTTGTTGTTGTCGTTGTTGTTGTTGTTGGTTGAACATTATTACTTCTAAAGAATAATTATTGTTGGGGCCCCTGGTGCACGACCCCCCCGCCGCGCCTAGGCCGCAGCCACGTTTTCATCATTTTCGTGAGGAAGTCTCAGGCAAAACGGGTTGGTCCGGATCCGGTTGTGTTGTTACGATCGGTTTTCCTTTTTTTGCAAAAATAAGCTAAAGTGGACATTTCTTGTTCTAACATATCCAAACTTCAAGAATCCCTTGCAAAAAATAAGGTAAAGTGGACATTCGCGCGCGCAAGACGAAATCCTTCCAAAACCTTAGTTTTCGTAGCGATTTTAACATAAAAACATCAAAAAACAATGGTTTTTCAAAAAAAAATGTCAAAATTTCATCCCGCGCGCTCTTGCGGATTCGTAGGAAACCCAACACTTTTTAAACATTTCTGTCAAACGGGCTTTTGCGAGCAACTTTTTCGAACTTCTGCGACAACGGTTGCGCACCTGCCAGGGCCATCATCCCTGTCAAATAATACCATGCGGGACACATTCGTTTTTTCTTCGCGCGCGCACGCCGTCGTCGTCGGCCGCGGGGCCCTGAATAGTAGCCACGGTCGTCCGCATGCCACGAAGTGAAGTGTCCGAACGTCATAGGGCGGGAAGCTGGGTGTGGGTGGTGGCGAAGAGTCGTTTGGAAATTTGGTAGAGCTTGAACCGGCCCCCCCACAAAGTGGGGGTATTGCCCGCCTCCTATGAAAACCCTGGCACTGGTGAGAACGGAGTGTCCCCACGTGCTAGTAATTGTTGTTGTTGTTGTTGTTGTTGTTGTTGTTGTTGTTGTTGTTGTTGTTGTTGTTGTTGTTGTTGTTGTTGTTGTTGTTGTTTGTCGTCGTCCCATCCGCGACCCACCCCGCGACCCACCCCGCGACCCACCCGCGACCCAACCCACGACCCACCCGCGACCCACCCGCGACCCACCCCGCGACCCACCCGCGACCCACCCACGACCCACCCGCGACCCACCCCGCGACCCACCTGCGACCCAATCCGCGACACATCCGCGACCCGCCCTCGACTTACCCGCGACCCACTTGCGACTCACCCGCGACCCACCCCGCGACCCATCCGCGACCCACCCCGCGACCAACCTGCGACCCAACAGCGTCCCATTTGCGACCCACCCGCGACCCCTTTGCGACCCACCCGCGACCTACCCGCATTGGTTTAACGAAAAAATCTGCGCCTGCGGCGGGCTCGTCGGATGATTTGCGACGCTCTGGCGCCTGCGGCGCGCTTCTCCGGAGTCTCGCAAGCTGCCGATGTCCCCACCGCCCCCTCACTCTGATCCGCACCTGCAGGGTGCTACGCACTTCGGGCTGCTGCTGCGCGCGACGTGCGCCCCCGGCGCGGGCGTCCTCTTCGTCTTGTGCAGCCGGTGGAGAGCGGGGGCCTTGATCGACGGGCTCCCTCAGCGAGGGCAACTGGGGGCGACGCAGTGGCAAGGGCGACGGATGGCGACGCGAGATCTCGACAGCCTCGCGGAGGAGCCAATGCTCTCCGACAAATCCACCCTGACGGAGCCTGGAGCCATCGTCGGGGGCCACCTGCAGCAGCTCATCAGTGGCGCCCCGCCAGGATTGCTGGCGAGTGGCCGCGGGCCAAGCTCGTCGCGGTGTTCCTCGGAGCCGAGTTGGCGCGGGACCTGCCAGAGCCAGGCGCCCCGGCAGCAGAGTCAGCGAGGCGCCCTCTGCAGCGGCAGCATACGGGCGCGCCACCGCCCCGCGACGACCCCGCGCCGCCCCGCTGGCGCCCCGACGCCGACCCACGCTGGAGCTGCGCTGCGGGGCTGGCGCGATCGCCGCCGGCATGGCGACTGTCGGCCACGCCGTTTTCGGGCTCGACCGCCTGCGCAGCCCGCTGGGTGACCACGTGGCGCCCGCCGTCAGCGCCGTTCTTGGCTGGATCGGGTCGCGCGCCGTCAGCTCCGTCTGGTCGGGCGCTTCGTGCGCGAGCTGGACCAGGGCCTTGCGGCATCCTCCGAGGTCAGACCGCTTTTTTTTCGGTCTGTCCGGCTCGACTGCTAGTGAACATGCCCACGTTGGCGCGGGCGACGCTACATGTTGCTTCGCAATAAAAGTGGCACGCGCGCGCATAGCCGCTCGTGTACCAGTCTTTCTGGAGAGCCCGCAGACCTCCCAAATTTGGCTCTGCACAGAGCTGCACAAATTATGCCAGAGCTCTGCCTGTCATAGACGTGCAATGCATCGATGTCAGCACAGCGAATCTACACGAAGGCGACCACCATCATGTCGTGGTTTGCTGGCTCGACCCACGATATCGAAGCTCGGTGCACTGGCGAGCCTAGCTTGTTCAGTCGCACGGGCAATCGGCATGCGGCTTTGGAGGGTAACGATGAGCTGGGGCGAAAGAGGACTGTTGTCGCCTCTGGGTATCCGCGCCTGATCGCTTTTGGCCGCTGTTCGGTGCATCGAGGAGGCCCTGTTCCTCCAGCCCGCTCGGGCACCCCCACTTCCTTGACACGAGCTAGCGCAGTGCAATTGCTCATTTTAATGTTCCGCCTTCGGCCAGATGTTCTTTCGGGATCGGGCGCGGGCTACACTGTTGAGCTCACGCGCCGGCCCTGGCAGACATCATCCGTCGGCTGGCCCTCTGCTTCCGATCCCCGTTTGTGTCCCAGAAGGTACACAAGAGCCTGGCCGCGGCTAGCTGAATCAAGCTGGTAATTTCGACATCTGAATGCTTAGCGTCTGCGACATCTTGGACGCATTCGCGGCTCGGCTCGGAGTTATTCCAACTGCCATCCTGCTGTTCGCCTCTTCCCACCAGCGCTTGTCATGGGGGCTGTTGCGATCGCGTGCCAGCCTTTGCATACGTCATCCGTCGCACGGCCCTCTGCTTCCAATTCCCGCTTGGCCCGATTGCATTTCACAATGTACAAAAGAGCGGTGCCCCGGGTAGCTGAGGCGATATGTGTATGTATGTATGTATACGTATACGTGTGCAGATATACACATATATACATATGTGTGTACATATATATACAGATCGCGCACACCAGACTTATTTATCTCTGGGTGGTCGTTCCTTGGGCGCCCCCTCGCCTTGTTCAGCTGGGCTTCTGCCTGTTCTGCTGCTGGGTTTCGCTCGTTGTTTGCCTCGGTCGTCACTTGGGCGGACGGCATGGCATGCCTGGCCTCGCCCTCCTGCCCACCCTCCGTGGACTTCGACGTTTACATGCTGCGCTTCGGCACGCACGCGAAGATTTGCATGATCTGAACGTGGCTCTCGGGTCGTCCTCCGACCCTTTCCACCCCCGCGCCCCGCGCGCGCCCCGCCGCCCCCCGTGCCCTAATTCGCCTCGGTTGCACCCCGCCGTCGCTCGCACGCTGCTTGATTCCTTGCGGCCGCCGACCCCTCCAAAAATTGCCAGGGTGGTTTTGTTTCCATCTGCGCTGTTACCTGCTCACTACAGGGGAGGAGGAGAAGGAAGAGATCCAGTGTTAACCCAAGACTCACCAACGATGTCAGATTACACCCTCCATCCAAGCTCCCTGTGCATATGCCCCTGCAAGCATTCATGTGTGTTGGGGGAACTGCGCTGTTGGGAGACAGCTGCCAGAAGATCCTGACGCGTGCCAGCACCCCTTTCTCGGGACCCCAACGTCACGAATCAACTTGTCTCTTGCGTCTTGACGATCCTGAATCGCGTCAGAACTCCATTCCTGGGATTTCAACACCCCTCGAATCAACCGATGTTGCGCCTTGACAAACCTGAATCCGTCCAGAACGCCAACTCTAATACGCTAGCTATGCGAGTCCGTACAAGTCCCGTAGTTTGTTGAAGCGATTGCGCGCGGCGGGAAGGCGAGTGCCACGTGTTGCAAAGAAGCCGCCCTCAATCCGTGAAGCTCTTACACATTTGTAGAACGAATGTGCGCGGCGCTGACGCGAGAGCCACATTTTGGAAGTGGCCCACCCTCAATCTGCGAAGTTCTTGCAAGTTTGCAGAAGGAATGTGCGCGGCCCTCAGGCGAGAGCCACGCTTTTGAAGCTCCCCGACCTCCATATGTGAAGCTCTTGCCAATCTGTAAGCTTCAGAACCATAAATGGTCAGGAGTCTCGGGCGAAACGCCTGGCCCGCCTTTTCGACCGGCCTCGGGGCGCTACAGGGTGCAAGTATTCACAAGGCAAAGGAATGGAGGAGGAGGAGGAGGAGGAAACAGCACCTGTCCGCGGCATAATCTGTTGCATCTGTGCCTGGACCGCTGAGTTTTCGTTTGCGTGTCATCGCCACCGAGCGCTACAAGCTGGGCACTTGGAGTCCGCTCCCCCCCGAACAAAAACAAGAAGGGGCTGGCCAGGCCTTTCCTGGGTCCGGGGTTGGTGTGCAGAGGCGCGCTCCCCCCCTTGACCCAGGTCAGGATCTCTGCGGCGGCCCCGGGGCCAGGACAGGCCCCCTCTGGCCTCCGGGCCAGCCTGCTGCCGGCTCCTCCTCCTCCTCCTCCTTTCCTCCTCCTCCTCCTCCTCCTCCTCTTCCTCCTCCTCCTCCTCCTCCTCCTCCCTCTCCTCCCTCCTCCTCCTCCTCCTCATCATCATCATCATCATCATCATCATCATCATCATCATCATCATCCATCTTCATCTTCATCTTCATCTCATCATCATCATCATTCATCATCATCATCATCATCATCATCATCATCATCATCATCATCATCATCATCATCATCATCATCATCATCCTCTCTCCTCCTCCTCCTCCTTTCCTCCTCCTCTACCCCTCCCCCTCCTCCTCCACCTCCTCTCCTCCTCTTCCTCCCTACGCTGGGCTCCTCATCTTCCTCCTCCTCCTTCTCCTCCTTCTCTTCCTCCTCCTCCTCCTCCTCCTCCACCTCCTCCTCCTCCTCCTCCTCCTCCTCCTCCTCCACCTCGTCTCCCCAGGCATCACGCCCGTGTTCGTGTTCCAGGGCATGTCCCCTGGGCCTCCGCACTCGATGTTCTCCAGCAGGGTGGAGCGCCAGATGGAGATGGCGTGGACCTACCTGCGACAGGGGCGCAGGAGCGAGGCCCAGAAGTGCTTCGCCGTGTCCACGAGCCGGATCAACGGCGACTTCGTGTACTTCATATCAGCGGCGCCTGGCGGCGTGGGAGAGTGCCGCCCCCCAGCACGACAGGGTCGGCGGCGCCCACGTAGCGAGGGACGCGTGCAGGAGGAGGCCCTGCTGCCCCCGAGGGCGAGCGCTCTGGGCGAGATGCGAGCTGGGATGCGGGAGGAGGAGGAGGTTGAGGAGGAGGAGGAGGAGGAGGAGGAGGAGGAGGAGGAGGAGGGGTCAGGCCGCCAGGGTTTCCTGCCTTTCGTGGCGGTCAGTTTGCCTCGCTGGGCAAGCGGCACGCGCGGGCTGCGGCTCGGGCTCGCGGCCCCCGGAGTCTGGGGGCGACGAGGGCCAGGCGCGCGCACCCCGATCCGGGCCACGCGCCCCCCCTGGGCTCAGGATCGGTACGTGTGCCTCCCTGGCCAGGGGCCATGCATGTGGCGTCACGGTCTGTGCCTTCTCCTCCTCCTCTTTCGGTTCCTCCTCCTCCTCCTCCTTCTCTTCCTCCTTCTCCTCCTCCTCCTCCTTCGCCTCCTCCTCCTTCTTCTCCTCGTCCTCCTCCTTCTCCTCCTCCTTCTCCTTCTCCTCCTCCTCCTCCTCGGCCCTGGGGGGTATGCACGGATAGTGAGCTCAGGATGGGCCTGCTCGGTAGCAAAACACGGGAGTTTGAAATACCCTTTTAGTTTCGTCTTTAGCATCTAGTAGCGTCGATTAGCGCTCGGGAGTCGATGAGTCAGCGCCGGTTCAGCGTCGGCTAGCATCGATTAACACCGATGTTGCGTCGATCAGCATCGACTAGCGTCGATCAGCGTCGATCCGCAAGAGCCGACAAGATGGTATGGGAGGCTCCCATGAGTGGCCACCAAAGGGTGTGCACGGATATTGGACTGAGGATGGGCCTGGGCAGGATCGGTCCATGTGCATAGTTGCCGTTATTCTAAGAGCGTTGGGTTCGTTTCGGTTCCTTCGATTCGATTCGATGTCGATGGCCTCATGTTCCGATTCGATTCGACTTCGGTTTCCGATGTTGATGCCGATTCCTCAATGGAGGCCTATTAGCCTGCCGATTTCTGCTGATTCGACTTCTCCTGACTTGGCTGCCGATTTCTGCCGATCTGATTCATTTCTTTATAACGGAGGTAGTGGTCGACAAGTCCGCGTGAATTCTGTGTTTGCTTGCTGATGTGTTTGTTTGAAAGGTTTAGAGGTGGTGAGGTTGATAAAAGACCTCATGCGAACAATTTTGATCGTAGACAAAAGATCAACGTCACATTGCTCCCGTCTTTCCTTCTCAAGATTGCGATTTAGACGAAGCCACGGAGCCGATCGCCGATCCGACTTATCGATTCGAGTCTGGGCTCTTCTGCCATGCTGGCTTCCTGAGGGGCTCGGCGTTCCCGGGTCCACTCCTCGGGCGCTCCTCGCGAATGAGGCTGCTGTCGAAGCCAGGGCAACGAAAAGGGGCCTTGTTCCCAAGGCCTCGGCTGCAGAATCTCGTCTCCGACATCCTCCTCGTTTTCAAGTGGTGGCCACAGAGATCAACCCGCCGCCGCCGCCACAGTCGTTTTCGTCGATGTCGTCCTCGTCGTCGCAGTCGCTGCTACCATCGCCGCCGACGCCGTCGCCCTGGCGGGCGACTCCCGTCCAAGCGGCTTCCTGGTCCCTCGTAACGTGGGCCTCGGAAGAAATTAGCGAACATTCATGCCACATTCATCTGTCAATGCGCACTCCAAATGATCCATGTTGGCGTTGGGCTAAATGCGTTGCACTCCGATCGCAGTCTTCCCCGCGCGTACCAGCTTTGAAGAATTTTGGGGAGAGGGGGAGTGTCCACTAATTGTTCCCCTCTACCGCGATCCACACTCATAGTCAATCCATGGGATGGTATCCGCGATTTGGTCATCTTGAGAGCGTTTGTCACCCCTTGGCGATATAACGGGCGTGACCCCGGGGGGTAGGAGGGGGGGGGGGAGGTGGCTGGTCACGTCGCGATTCGCGCCGACGCCGTCTGGGAGTGCTGAGGAATGACTCATTCGCACACGGCGCCCGCACGAATCGTGACGTGACCAGGGGGGGGGCGGTCACGAGCGTTATGGCGATTAACAAGAAACGGGCTCCTTTCTGACAGAGGCTGGGAAGGGCAAAAGCTCACTAGCAATTCCACCGCAGTCCCCATTCCGAGGACTCAGTCACGCGCAGAGGAGATCGGGGGGAGGGGGAAGGCTTCTTGGAATAACCCCTGCTTCTTAGAAGGAGCGGGCCTTGCCTGTAGATGTAAGACCGGCACCTTCTGAGAAGCAGCATCCTTCAAGAAGCCTTCCCCCCTCCCCCATACCTCCTTGTTGCTGTCGCTTCCACTCATTACCCGGTGCGGGGATGGGCGGAGTCTTCGATTGTAGAGGTTAAACAACAGCAAGCACGCATCGATTCCAACTCGGGGCGTGATGGTCTGGACGTCCGTCCGCGGGGGGGGGGGGACAACAAACAAAACCTCCCCATAACCCCCTTTGCGCGCCGGTGAAGGGAACCCCATTCAGCCCCCCTTGGGGCCGAGGGGGGCGCCCCTCGGCGGAGCGCGCCGCCTGGGCGGAGCGGCCGCGGCCACCCCCCCCGGCAGACGCCCTCGCGAGGGCACACGGGGGCTGTCGCTGGGGGCGGGGGCGAGAGCCGGGCTTGGCCTAAGCGGTGTTTGGGCGATTTCGTGTACTGCTGTCGTTTTGACGCCGTTTAGCGGCACAGATTTCTTGGATCCACCCCTGGCCCCCCCCCCCCCGACGGCACCTCCTGCGCCGCCCCTGGCGCGCTCCGCGCGCCAGGGAGGGGGGTCCAGCGCAGATCCAAGAAATCCGCGCGGAGCGCTCAAAGTTTATGTTTATGGCGTTTGTGCTCCTTCTATAAACTGTGTTTTGGCGATGTCGCCCACTGTTGTTGCTTTGAGAGGTGGATCGAAGTCAGAACGAGGGAAAACGAAAACGAGTCGGAAACTGCAGGGGTCTGTCGACCAGCACTGAGCAGTATACTGCCACCACGGTGTCCGCAAAGTTCGCCCAGTAGCATCCTCCTTCACATGTTCCCCGCTTCACTTGTTTCAACCTGTAACATTATTTCACCCACCCTGCTCCATTCACTTGGCCAGTGACCTCAGCACGGCTCTGACCTAAGGTCTGGGGTGGATGAGGTTGGGCGCAGGGACGGATTGGGGAGGGAAAGGACTTACAACCAGCCTAAGCTTGTTACACTGCTCCAGCGTTTCTTCCAGCTCATATCCATCCCGCTCCGCGCTGCTCCATATCTTTGTGAATGCACCTTCAAGTATTCACTCTTCATTCCTTACTGCCACCCTGTCCTCCAGCAGACGCACCTGTCAACGCATAACAGCCGCCATCGAGGAATTTCGTTTGAGACGGGCTGCCAATAGCAAACCGCATCGCAAGTTTACCAGCACAGTCTGTTAACTTGCTTCCGAGTCTGCCAGCGATGTGCCCAGTTAGCTCCCACACTGCCCAATCGAGCAGTTTGAATGTTCGTTCCAAAACCCAGCAGCAGCGCCCATCATTAAATTGATGGGTCGGCACGTATGTATTTCTTGTTTCGGTTGCTACACTACGGGGGGTGCTAAAATTTGTTGTCAAGGCCATGTGAGCGTTAGACAGGGATTGGCAAGTAGCACCGCCACCACCCTGTGCCCCCACGCACAATTAAGTATACATAGCACCGCACTGATATGCACCCGTTCATGCCATACCTTCGGTTATTGTATTTGTTATTTGCAGGTCCTCAACACCTTCGGGCCTGAATTTCTGTTGTTTGGCGCCGTGGTTAATCTCTGCTGCGCTCACAAACTTGATTTTATCACACGCATTGCGCCTAAGTCGGATCACCGCCTCCTTTCTTATTTCAAGAATGCAACAGCCCGCCGCTGGTGTTTGCCTGACGCGGAGGACGAGGTGGAGGTGGGGGGTCGAGGCGGAGGAGGAGGAGAAGGTAAAGGTGGGGGAGGATCAGGAGGAGGAGGAGGAAGAGGAGGAGGAGGAGGAGGAGGAGAAGGAGAAGGAGGAGGAGGTAGAGGAGGAGAAGAGGAGGAGAGAGAGAAGTTGGACAAGGAAGAGGAGAAGGAGGTGGAGGAAAAGGAGGAGGAGGAGGGGGAAGGGGGGGAGCTGGACGTGGAGGATTTGGATGTGGAGGTGGAGGAGGAGAAAAGGGAGGAAGAAAAGGAGGAAGATTAGGAGGCGAAAAAGAAGGTGGAGGAGGAAGAGGAGGATGAGGAAGAGGAAGAGGAGGAAGAGGAGGATAAGGAGGAGGAGTAGGAGGAGGAGGAGGTGGTCGAGGTGGAGGAGGTGGAGATAGAGGAGGAGGAGGAGGAGGAGGAGGAGGAGGAGGAGGAGGAGGTGGAGGAGGAGGAGGAGGATGGATGTGGAGGTAGAGGTGCTGGACGAGGAGGTGGAGATGGTGGTGGTGGAGGAGAAGGAGAAGGAGAAGGAGGAGGAGGAGGAGGTGGGGGTGGAGAAGATAGAGGAGGGGTAGGTGGTGGAGGAGGGGCTGGAGGAGGTGGGGAAGGATGCGGAAGGAGGCGGGGGGCGACAGCTGGCGGGGGAGCGGCAGCCGCACTTCGAAGAGCCAGACGACGGCACGAACACGCAGTCTTTCGGAGGTCCGCGCGGATTTCTCGGACCGGCGCTGGATCCCGCCTGCCTGTCGTGCGGAGCGCACCAGGAGCGGCGCTGGAAGCGCCGCCAGAGGGGGTCCGAAAGTTCATGTGTGTGTGTGTGCCGTCGCCAAATCCAGACATCTGACGTCGTGATGTGTTCGCAGCGTGGCTCCCCCAGTTGGGCCCTTTCCCAGGGACCAGCTTTTCATCCCGAATTGTTTTTTGACAGCCCCGAGGCCCCGCAAGGGTCCCCAGTGGCCGAGAATCCGCTAAACATGTCCGCCGTGGATGTTCTCACGACGCGTGGACGTCAGTCGAGGAGGAGGAGGAAGAGGAAGAAGAAGACGAGGAGGAGGAGGAGGAGGAAGACGACGACGACGACGACGACGACGACGACGACGACGACGACGACAAGGACGACGACGAGGCCCACGACGAGGTCCACGACGAGGGCGAGGGAGAGGGACCTGAGGGCGCCGCATCCGTGCGCCCGGCGCCCCCCCCGCCGATCGCGGGGGGTGGCCAGCGCATTCCACCACCTGCGCTTCAAGGGCTTCGAGGTGTTCCAGGCGCCGTACCTGGCGGGGGCGCAGCTCGCCCACTTCATGCGGCAGAGGCTGCCCGGCGGCGGGTTGCGAGGAGGGGGGGGAGCGAGGGCGCGGCGAGCGGCGGGAGGAGGAGGAGGAGGAGGAGGAGGGGGAGGGGGAGGAGGAGGAGGAGGAGGAGGAGGAGGAGGGAGGAGGAGGAGGAGAGGGGAGGGGACGGGGAGGGGGGCGCGAACGGGGCGAGCGGCGGGGAAGAGGGGGGGGGGGAGGGGGGCCACATCCTCGCGCCGCGGGCAAAGCAAGATCGAGACGTTTGTTTTGTGACATCGTTTTCTGATTCGTTGCTTTGCCGATTGGCGCGGGTCCTCGCCCCCCCCCCAATGGAGTAGATTTACGGCGGGCATGTCCCTCTATGGAGGAAAAATCGTAAATAGTTTTAAAAAATACTCTGGCAGGGGACGATGTTTTTGAATTGCTTTATGCTGTGACTAGTTTTTGATGTTTTATCTTTCGTCCAAAATCCGCCTGCAGGAGGACATGCCTAACCTTGGAGTAGATCTTGGCTGTTTGGGGCGCCTGTTTCGAGCAGGTGATGTCTCCCCCAAGGGACGCATTGCTGCAAGCAGTCGCGCTAAGCAGAGGTCCGGAGCCGGACCCCCCCGCACCTCCACCCCCCCTCCGCCCATTGTCGAAACGCTGAACAAGAAAATGCTCACTTTGTTGTCAGATTTCGGCCTCCCTGGATGGCTCGGGATGGCAAGACGGTCCCCGGGGAAGGGGTTCGACCTCCGGGGTGCCAGGCTGTGAGAGAAGTCACGGCGTCGGATGTCCGCGCAGCCTTCCGAAAGAGGGGCACCATCGATTCGCAGAGGCCCCCCTGCCTCCTCGGAGGCCCTCCCAGAGGCCCTGTCAGCAGCGGGCCAGTCCCCTCCGAGAGCCAGGAGGAGGAGGAGGAGGAGGAGGAGGAGGAGGAGGAGCAGGAGGAAGAGGAGGAGGAGGAGGAGGAGGAGGAGGAGGGCCCTGCCTTCTTAGAAGCGCCCCCGGCTCGCCCCACCCCTCATGGGCGCGCCGCCAAGGTTGGTCGACATGGTGTTCGGGTCCTCAGGCCTGCTGCTGTACAGCATTCCGCAGGTCATCATCTTCATGGACCCGAGGGGGGCCAGAAAGAGGCCTACATCACCCCCCCAGACGGAAGCGGTTGGTCTCCTCCATCTCCCTCCCTCCTCTCCCGCAATCCCTCCTCCTCATCCTCATCCTCCTCCTTCTCCTCCTCCTCCTCTCTTTCAGCGTGGTGTGACCTCCTGAAGTGTTCAGAGGCGTCAATGAAACCTCCGGAAACCCACAGCGACCTCCATAGCTCTTTGGATTGTTCCTCCTCCTTCTCCTCCTCCTCCGCCTCCTCCTCCTTATCTTCTGTCTCATCAGCCTCATCATCACCAAATCAGAATCATCAGCACCAACATCATCACCATCAGCATAATCAGCAGCAGCACTATCATCGCCATCATCGTCAGCATCATCATCACCATCAGCATCATCATTACCACCAGCATTATCATGATCATCGGCATCGTCATCATCATCATCATCAGCAGCATCATCATGATCATCATCATCATCATCATCATCATCATCATCATCATCATCATCATTATCATCATCATCAGCAGCATCGTCATGATCATCGTCATCAGCAGCATCATCATCAACATCATCATTAGCATCATCATCAGCAGCCGCATCATCAGCATAATCATTAGTAGCAGCACGATCACCATCAGTTTACCCTGCGCATCAGTTGAACATCACAGGGCTGGATCTAAACGGTGTGTTGGCTATCCCGTGGGCCGTTTTGTTGTTCGTTTTGTTTTGCATTCAAGGCGAAGCGAGGGCAAAACAAGGAGAACAAACAACAAAACGAAAACGAAAAGCACCGTTTAGGTTCAGCCCTGGAACATAACGCCGTAGCGCCAGGGAGCGCCAGTGAGCGCATGCAAGAACACATGGACTGGCGCAGGCAGGATGAGACGAACCTGCGGTGCGGCATCTGAACGGGAGACGCGAGGGACAAGAAGTGGTTGCAGATGTGGAGGAGCCAACGTGGGCCAGGCAGTACCAGGGTCAGGGAGACGTAAGACTCGAGTACGCTGGAACTCGAGTTTGCCGACGCGTGTTGACGGACGCGTCCTGGATTTTGACGGCCCGGTTTTCGTGGGATGTTTGCAGCGAAAGCTCGCGTCAAATTTCAGGCTCGGTCTCGTCATGTTCATGATTGCCCTGTCAGGCCAGCCCGAGCCCCCCGAGCCCGAGTCGCGTCTCCCCGACAGTGGCACGTTCGGCCTCTGTGCAGCGCCTGGGATGCCACCAGGGTGCAGCAACCTCCACTCCCTTTCCAGCCTCGCTGATCCCGCCGCTACCCACGACGCCAGGGTGAACGAAGCATCGACCAGGGCTGCAGCTCTGTGCCCAGAGGCTGGGCCTCGAGGAGTGCTGTGCTGCGCTGAGTCAAGATTCCGGCAACGGAGCGGCCAGGAGAAGGCTACGGCGACGCAAGTCGACTTAGACCGGCTGGGTGGAATGCCGGGCTGGGTCCGCGGCCCTCGCCGGGTGTGGCGCTCTTGCCTTCCACGGCCGCGCGCTCTGAGGCAGGAAGCTTGTCCTGGCCCGCTGCGCTGCAGAAGCGCTGTGCGAAGTGCTGCTCCCAGGCCCCCGACGTCGTGATGTTTTCACCGCGTCGACCCCCAGAGGTCTGGATGGATCCCTACCCCGGGACCGGTTTCTCATCCCGAGTCGTTTTTTAACCGTCCCGAGGCCCGGTGAGGGCCCCCGGAGGCCGAAAATAGCGAAAAACGTGCCGTTGGATGTTTTCCGAGGGGGTCTGGGCTCCGAAGTGCGAGGCTTGCGCGCTCGACTATGGTCTGTGGGCGCTCCTCCCTCTTCCCCCAGGGGCGCCAGGGGCGCCAGCTTCTATGGTCTGTGCGCGCTCCTCCCTCTTCCCCCCTCGCGCTCTGTTCCTTTCACCTTCGTGCCCCAATTCGCTCCCGGTGCACCCACCGCTTGCTGACCGGCGCCTGACTACCTGGGGCGGATTTCTTGGATCCGCGCTGGACCCCCCGTTGGCGCCTCCGGCGCCGCCCCTGGCGCGCTCCCCGCGCCAGGGAGGGGGGTCCAGCGCAGATCCAAGAAATCCGCGCGGAGCGCCAAAAGTTTATCTTTATGGCGTTTGTCCTCCTTCTATAAACTGTGTTTTGGCGATGTCGTCCACTCTTGTTGGTTTGATGTTGTTTGGCGGCAGAGGTGGATCGAAGTCAGAACGAGGGAAAACGAAGCAAGTCGGAAACTGATGTGGTCTGTCGACCAGCACCGAGCAGTATACTGCCACCATGTTGTCCGCAAATTTCGCCCAGTAGCATCCTCCTTCACATGTTCCCCGCTTCACTTGTTTCAGCCTGTAACATTATTTCACCCACCCTGCTCCATTCACTTGGCCAGTGGCCTCAGCACAGCTCTGACCTAAGGTCAGGGGTGGACGAGGTTGGGCGGAGCGCCACCAAACGTTTATGTTTATAGCACGTTTCTTCATTACACTTGGCGCCCGCGGACTTAAAAAAGTGGGCGCCAGGGTTGTGCGGCAGTTGCGTCAGCCAGCATGCGGGACACTGCTCCGAACAATTCGCACTGTGGAGTCCACCACAGTCGCCTCCTCAACGCCTCTTCTACAGCCAGCACCATGCCCCCCGAAGCCATGGTCACAGTCCTGATATCCGCAAGTTCTGTGCTTCTTTTGCCTTTCGAGTACGGCCAAGACGCTGCAACAAAACCGATGTGGGTTCGACAGGGGCTCGCTGTTCCTTGGGTCGTTCCGCGGCTGTTCCTCTGGCCCTCGTTTTGCACCCAGAATTTCCAGGTGCCGAGGAGGGGAGGGGCCTGGCTTTTTGTCTCTCGATCCCTTTTTTCAGCCGCCCGACTGTAGTGCTGAAACTGTTCCGGTGGAGAACCCAGTCTCCGATTCGAGCTCAGCTTAGGGCTATGAGGCCCCCCCGAATCCTTCACCGCCGACGTACACCACATCAGCCACACAGGGCTTGCGACTACAGTACATCTTAGGAGCCCTCGCGTTGTCAGCGTTGTCTGTCGAGCGCAGGCCTCCTGAGACTTGGACAAGCAATGCTGGAACCAGTGCGACGATTGCCCATACAGCGCAGGCCTATTGAGAGCAGAGTTGGCGCCATTCAGGGGCGATCGCGTGGCCAGCCAGCGTGGGCCACTCAAGTTCGCCTGCCCGATCATCCTGCAGAGGGAGGCCGCACGAGGTGCGACTCAGGCGCTCTCGGAAGGCTAATCGTGCGTAGGCCAGCTGAGAAATCCTCCTGCGCCACCTCCTCCTCAGGATCATTACCTCCTCCATCTCCTGCTCGAGAGGCTGCTCAAGGGCGCAGGCCAGAGGGCACCTCAGGATCCGGGCTGCTCGTGGAATCCAGCTTCGACGCCCTCACGTTGTCAATCGCGCTTGGGCCTGCTGAGAGAAACTGCGGGGATCAATCACATCTTTCAGAAGCGAAGGCTTAATGAACAGGGATGTTATGCATTGCGGACGTCTGTGCTGCGAGCAGTAGAGGCACCTGGAGAGTCCCGCGATGGCCGATGCTCTGCAATGCGGCCTGTCGCTGGTCCTTCTCCTCCTCCTCTGACTCCTTCTCCTCCCTCTGACCGAATGGTGGTAACCCCGTGAGTGCGCACACCTGTGGCGCTGCTGAGTTCACGACTCTGGCGCGCGCTCCTCCTCCTCCTCCTCCTCCTCCTCCTCCTCCTCCTCCTCCTCCTCCTCCTCCTCCTCCTCCTCCTCCTCCTCCTCCTCCTCCTTCAGGTGGCCCGAGCCACTGAGAGAAACGACCCCACCCCTGCAGGTTGAGGATTGCACACTCTCCAGGGCCCTGTTGCCCCAGGCGGCCATGGCGGCCGCGCGCCCGCAGGAGCTGGTCTGATGCCGGCAGGTCTTCTGAGATTGGTGGGATTCAACCCATGTGCGGCGTCGCGACTATCACGGCTGGCAGATATACCAGGGGAGTATCCGAACTATGATGTTGTTTATCTTGGGGGGGCACGCAACAACGCAGTAGTGGTGAACAACTGGAAGATATGCTCCTTGTCGATCGTTATCGGTGTATACGTGCAGGATATCGCAGAGGCCCCCTCGTGACAACCTCGTGCGGGGTGACTATCATGCTCAAGAGCAGCAGATTTCTCCGTCACAGCATCAAGAGGGTCATCCCAGTGTCAAAGCAACTATGGGGACGAGCTTTTGGATTTCTTGTCCAACAGCAGGAACACAGTTTCGGGCTCGTCGGCATGTACTTCCCACCTCGTGTTTCGAAGAAGGGACAGAAAGAGAAATACGAGAAGGCAGTTTCGGCTCTATGTGATCGGCTGCAATATACTGTGGAGCTGTTTCATGAAAGGCGCGCATTACCCTTGATATACGCAGATGTCAACGGCGGCTTTCCCGTCAGCTTGGATGATACAGTCGCTGGTGAGTTCTCGGAAGGGCGTAGCACCCCAGCTTCGGCAGCACTGAGAAGTGTATTGGCAGCTTGGGACCTCGTGGCAGTGAATACGTACTTCTCGAACCCGCCTACTTTCATCGGGGAAATCGGGGCCAGCCACATCGACCACATCTTTGCCCCGAAGGACGCGCTGCCTGCGATCGCCTCTTGTGCTGTGCACACGCGTTCAGGTCGCAGGCTGCAGTTATATCAAACGGTGGCCGCTAGAGATCATCGGCCACTAGTTCCCAGCGTCTTTTTTCAGGCCACGGCGGCACCAATGCCTGGGAGAGGGAAACGTCCCAATCGAGAGGCTCTATATGAATGTGCACAGGTTGGTCACAAGAGACAGCAGTTCTTTCAGGTCATTAATCGTAGAGCACAAAAGGTGGAGGAGGATTACGACAAGATGAGGGAGGAGGGCAAGGTGGATGAGATGCATCGGATGTTCATGCACGTAGCCAACGAGGCAGCCATAGAAGTTTTTACGGAAAGTCCTCTAGCTAGTGGTGAACGTAAGAGCCAAGCTGATATTCTAGGCAATCTTCTACTGCAGCGACGTAGTCGACGCTAGCGTCTAGGAAGAGCAGGCACTGAGTTTCT